ATGATATTCTTTCTTCAGTACAAATTAATCTTGTGGTCGATATCGTGTATTTTTCAGTGTAAGTCGAATATAATTGATATAAACAGCGTGTTCTACTACAGCGGTTACCTATTTTGTAACTAATGTACGTTTTTTCTTCAAAAACCATCATATATAAGATGGTTGAAGTGTTCTCTGATCGGGTTAAATATCTCGTCTCATCCTCAAGATCCTCAGCTTGCCAGTGATGGTGTATTATAATAACCGATGGCAGTGGCGACGCGGGACTACTAGCGCCCCTCTTGTTTTAGGTGGGCGGTAGAAGATGGCGCCATCTCTGTGTATGCCATGTTCTTCAGGATACAAATCCATAGTACAGCTGTTAATGGCGAAACTAGAAGATAAACTATTCTCTTCTTCTACTAAGGGCAGTGGAATGAGCTTCTACTCTATTGACGTTGTGTATTCTTGGTAACAAGGGGCACGTGTCGGGAGTGCCACCTTGTGCTGCCCACTCAAAACAAGAGGGGCGCTAGTAATCTCGTGCCGTCCCTAACCGATGGCACCTATCCTTATGTATAGTATGAAGTTTCATCACTTACCGCGAAAAAGTCGACAGATGGTGCCACCATTTCTGTAGCCAGGGCGACATGCAATGAATCCGTGTCATCCATCGACTTATTCACGGCACGCAATAAAATTCAAAAACATATACACTATCCTTCAAAACGTTCGACATACGTCAAAACCAGTCTTTTGTTCAGCCGTTGTAATTTATTATATCATCACTCTTTTGTACAGCGTATGTTCTTTCTATATTTTTCTAAACCTTCAAAAAACTGTGGGTGCGGGTTGGGGCAGATGTAACAGCTATTATATTGATCAGCCGACACCCATACTCACACCTACCTACAACCAAACCCACACTCAGACCCACACTCACATCCCACACAGACGACCACACTCACACCCACCCACAGCCACAACCTCATTGCATACGCACCCGCAGCCACACCCGAATCTGTTTTAAATGAAACGCGCGGAATTCCGGAGCAATCCAATATCGAATCCGATGGCTTCTGGTAAGATATGTGGGTCGGATTGAATCTCCTGAGTATCAATCAAAATCGGGCTTTATGTCACATATCTAATGCAGGTTTCGATTTGATTTATGTGAAAGTTGCTCAGAAAAATGCAAAAATAATCCGAGTTGAACTGATAAGTTGAAGAAGTTGGACAAAACTCTTTGAATGTTAAGATCAAAATTGCAAAACTTGAAAACCATGTTTCAGACCGAACTTCATCCTATCCCAATCAAACGAACTGGAACTGATGCTAGCGATCACAGTTTTTTGAGCTCTGTCTTCGATAAAAATTTTATGTAAAACCTTCCAACTTTACTTGGGTGTTGACATGTTCCCAAACTTCTAATGGGTAATGTGTTTTTTTTCTCTTGTATAGCCAGCATAACTTAGTATATCATCGCTCCTTTGTACGGAATACGTTCTTTCTATATTTGCCAATAACATTAAAAGTCATATGTAAATTTTCAAGAAAATCGTTGATTGAAACAGAAGCTGTACCTTCAATAACAGAGAATCATCGCTGAATAAATATTCCAAGAATGATTGACTACATCATTGACTGTTGCTCTTTTTCCCTTTGAAGCCAACTAGCGCTCTCTATCCTAATACATTGTTTGGAAAATCATCTAATACATTTTTTGCTGAAATTCGTCAGAATTACTTGGAGAACATCAAGCTACAATTAAAAAATGTATCGACTGACAATGTTTCATCAGTACGGCGGCAAAATATTACGTTAATAAAACCAATGAAGAAATATTTTTCTTGATAATAGATTAGGTAATTACGAAATCCATTGTTTGGGAAAAAAACGTAGCTAATATAATAAGCTTTGCATTTCACGTTTTGTCTTAATCAAAAGTGTTTTATTGAGAAAGCCTGCATCTTTTTTGAAAGTAAATCTATAGTTGATTTTGACTTTGATTTTTCCCAGGTTCCAAACCACTATTTAACAGACAAGAGATACAATCAAATCATAAAACTCAATTGCATTCAACGGTTTGTTTGTTTTTTTTGTTGTTTATTTATTTATCTGTATCTATATTATAGTACGAGAGAAATATGGTCGGCTTTGACGCAAGGAATAAAGAAACTATCGGTTTAGCCTTTCACTGTCGGATATGCTCACTAATTTTACGGGAACCTGTTCAACTTCTCTGTGGGCATCGACAGTGTAAGTCATGCGTAGAATCTACGGATAGGTAAGACATAGATTCCTATTGATTTCTATTATTCGAGTTTATCTTTCTTTTTCCAAGCGAAGTAATACAATGTCGAGAATGTGAAGAAGCAACTCCAAAAAGAGAGGTTACAATCGAAAACTCGTTGTGTCTATTCAATATTGTTTTCTTTTGCTTTTAGATTTTGTTTGATCGAGGTTTCAAAAATGATATGCAGAAATTAGCTACTATTTGTTACCTATGTGACTGGAACGGGTTGCTGAAAGAGTATGAGGTATGGTGACTAACTAACATTTACGTCGTTAGAACTTGATACGCTACCGAAAACTATGGCATATATTGACTGTTTTATAGAATTTATACTGCAATGCAAACTATCTAGTTTCTAATGAACGATATCGAAAAGTTTGGCTGATTTCTAGACCCTTCAATTATTTCATACTGTTTGCTAGTCAAAAATCGATTTTTCTGCCTATTTATATTTTGAGTCTGTAATTACAAGATTAATTTATAACTCCTACTTGATATAATACCGAGAGCGAAGGACATTTGATCAATGTCCGACATGCTTCGTAGTCGTCCTACATTTCCTATATATTCGAGAAAGTCTAGATTCTTATTAGTGAAATGTAACTTAAACAGAAAGAGCACATACGCTTATGCACATGTTGTCATAGTTCACACTATAAGAGGAATAGAAGCTAATGACAATATATGTATATTTAATCGTTCTTCCGTATATTCAATACAAGGATTGACTCTTTTTTTTCAGTGGAATTCTTTTACTACAGATAAATAATTCAACAGGCTTTACATTGAGCCTTCTACAAAGTTATACGATACTTACAAAGACAACAATAATGAGCTAATTTAATAATTGATGATGGTAGTACACGTTTGCAGGTGGCTATTTTAAAGAAAGATTGTCTTGATATTAATCCAACTACAATATTAATTGAAGGTGGTAATAACAGAAGTAGAATTATTCGTGAAGCACCACTAAAAGTTACAGAAGAATTATTTGATATTCAAAGGAAAAAGAGATGCTTTTGACAAGCAGCAACAAAAAAAGAAACAGTACACTACAGTTAATTGAATTATCAGTCTAAACTGAAAGGGGTTATTTTTATCATTCATTCACATAATTGTATGTACAGCTTTTCAATTTATTAAGTATCAATAACTATGAAAGTCGAATAGTATAATTATAGTCTAAATGAATGCAAGTGTTTCTTGTATACGTTTTTGTTATGATTATACTTATATTTTTTTTTCATAAAGATATTACTCAACCTTTGTTAATAAATGAAAGAGATATATTTCTTCGTTTTAAATTTTATCGAATCGAACTACTTAGAATTTTTACAGCAATGGATTCATGTATTCGTTTTCGACTCCTGTTGACAACTTTGATTATCACTACTAATGACCGTGAGAACATCGCAATGTAAGGCAATCCTCTAAAAAAACCTTCCTACTGACAAAAATTTCGAACTATATATTTCCTATATTTTCATGAAAATCCTATATAAAAGCTTCTTTTAAAATCCTCTATTTTTCTATATACGTTGGACAGATCGCTGCGAAGCATGATGTCCGACTGAATGAATGTAGTCGAATAGTTACATATACTCCATAATCAGATACCTTGTTTACTAAAATGGATCTTTCTAAGTCCAGTTAGCTTGATATTATATGATATCGATATTGATCTATGAATTTCAATGCAATTAGTGTTTGCATTAGAGCAGTCCATTTCGTATTATGTTTCGAAATATAACGTGCATCTCCTACTTTCTACGGGGCTCATCTATCGATGAACATCAACACAATGAGGCAAAATAACAAATCGACTAGCTGAGTATGATACTTCTGAAAAATGTTTTCAGTATTCCACTGTATAACAATAGTTTTGTAGTGATGTGTGATTTTTTAAGATTCACCTAATACAAGCTCATCCGAATCTAGCATGTGAATATTGTGGCAAAACATTCGATTCGACGAATAGTCTCAATCAACATAAAGTAAATGAATGCGATAAATTCACCGTATCTTGTGCCCTCAAAGATTTTGGCTGCTCGAAACCAGTCGTACGCTTTCAAATGTCGACTCATTATATGACTGAACAACATCAAAATGCGATTAGCACTATGGTGCGTCACTTAATACTCAAACTAAGAGGTGACATACAAGAACAAAATTCTCGTATCGATATGGATATCGTGCCTCATTCTACTACGATCAGAACTCCACCTGATAGTAACAACTTGACTGTTCAGTCTCAAGAAATTTATGAAACGATTGATATTCTCGCTGGAGGAATTCAAACGTTGAATGAAGATGTACAACATCTCAGTACTGAATCTCTAGTACTACAGAATGGAATAGACGCTCTAAACCGTGGTATGGCAGAACTCAAACTGAGCATTCAAGAACAGAGCACTGTTCTCGATGGAATCAAACCTAATCAAGAGATTCTTCATCAAGATGTGGCATCATTAAAACAACAAGTGGATGATCTACAGTTCGTTTCTTATGATGGAACATTCATATGGAAGATAACTGCAGTCAGAGAGAAAACCAGTAAGGTTTCTACTATGTTCTATTTTGCTTACACAACTTCCCTATTTAACTATCGATTGATAGGTTATGAACATGTCATTGATTAAAATATTTATTTGTAGTTGATGCTGAGTCTGAACGACAAACTTCGATCTATTCCCCTCCATTTTATTCATCTCCGATTGGGTATAAGATGCGTGCACGTTTATATATGAATGGTGATGGAAATGCTCGTCGTACGCATATGTCTCTCTTTTTTGTGCTTATGCGAGGTAAACACGATGCGATCTTGAAGTTTCCCTTCAACTATAAAGTCACATTTTGTTTATACGATCAAACACCAGCACAACGACATATCATTGATTCATTTCGTCCTGACATTAGATCGAGTAGTTTCCAGCGACCACGGTCCGAAATGAACATTGCAAGTGGTATACCGAAGTTTTTTCCGTTGACTATGATCCAACAGGAGGGAAATCCATACGTTCGAGACGATATGATGTTTATCAAAATAATGGTTGATTTTGGTGATATGCCGAAGACCTTATTGCCATATGCATTGAGTCTCGATCCCGGGCTGCCGACAAATATTCAGCAGAATATGATTAAACAAGAAGCTGAAAAACGGGCTCAACAAACTACCACTCAACCAACTCTATTATTACAACGTAATGAGTGATTTGGTCAATATCTTTCGTTGATGTACCACTATAGGCACCTATCAACAAGGACTAAGAAGTTTGGAACATTATTCAAAACTATGCTACATTCTCTTTTTTTGATTTGACTGGAGACTACTGTTTCTATCGTGAAATTTTATTTTCTAACTAATTTCTTTTCAATCATCACTAATTTTTATGTTATTTTGGAAACATTATCAAAATCTGATTATTTTCTTTCTTTCTATTCCGATAAAAGTTCTATTTGAAACTGAAATATTGTGAAGTACCTTTATTTTTGAACATATATTGAAGCTTGCAAACTTTAGATGAACATTCAGAAGAGAGGGTTCCAGGAATCGTCAATTTATCAAAATTTCAAATAAAGCAGTCCAACTGCTCACCAATAGAGTATCGATTTGAATCTCTTCAATTATTCATTGTTTCGAATAAAAATAGTAAAATCAAATGAAAATTACTATCATCAAAGGCGCTTTACTTTCGGTGATTAATCGAAATATTTCAAAATCAAGTTTGTAAGTCATATAAATAAAAGGGTGAGTGTGGGTGTGGGTGTGTGGGTGTGTCGGTGTGGGTGTGGGGGTGGGGGTGTGGGTAAAAAAAACACCACCCACACCCATACCCACACCCACACCCA